CCATGCTCCCCCCGCTCGCCCCTCCAACTCGGACGCCATTAATGCACCCCAGCATTAATCGAGGGTATCGCAGGGCGGACATCCATGAAGCCCGGCATGATAGAGAAAACGCACACTCGACATAACTCAGCATGCTGAGAAGATAGAAGAGCATGCAACAAACCTGGCACACACTGGTCGGACTACTAACACAGACTACTAATACTCGGCACACATGTTCCACAATCAATGCACCGAGAAGCTAGAACTGAATAGCCCACGCTATGCATCTGAACAAGGACAGGCTATGAGCGCGTGGCATCGTCGTCGTACTACGACGAATTCCCCACTCAATGAGCCAGTTGAGTACAGTGCAGGGACTGTATGTTTACACCGAGGCCACTGGCGCATTACACTTGCCGTGCTGTCATCTTGCCATAACTCAGGGCGTACAACACTTCGCTGGCGTACAACGCCACGCTGGCCTACGACTCTACGCTGGCGAGCTACACTGCGTTCTGCGCTGTGAAGCATAATCAAATCAGCTGTCGATGTGGCTCCGCATTTTGGCAAGTAGCTCCTTCATGTCTTGAGAGGAGTCCAGTTCTTTGATCATGTTCTTCCTGGGGCAGTGCAGATTCGCCCTCATCCTACTTCTGATGGTCCTGCTCTGTCTCCTACTCCACCTCCTCCTTCTCCTCATCCCGTCTCTCATCTGCTCAACAAGACCACCTGAACTCCATCGATTCCCGAAAACCATATTCCTTGAGAAAAAACTCTCCCCTGTCGCACCACCCGACGTGTCCAGTGCCGGACCGGGCGTTTCGCTTGAGACTTCCTTGCATCCTACTGCCCTGAGGCTAACAAACTCCAACAATTACATGGATGGAAGGCAACTTCTTTCTAGAATGCGGTTCTCGCCTTAGCGCCTTGCACATTCTTTCTCAAAATCTCCAACAGGCATTCCGTAATTTTCGGACTGACATGGCCCCCCGGGGGTCGTCTGCACTCCGGCGGCCTGCTGGGACCGACTTGGGGTGCCTTTGAGGCGCTGGGAGCGTCCTAACTGAGCCCCGGGGCCTATTGGGACCGTCTTGGTGCCCTCGTAGAACCTCCGCAGAGCTCCGGGGGAGCCTCCCGGGGGGGAGCCCCGGGGAAGCTCCAGGAGGGGAGGAGGCCCTTAGAAGACCCCGGGTACCCCTGGATGGCTGCGGGCCCGGGTCCCCCAGGCTGGGTTTCCGCCATATGATCTCTATGTAAAAAAATGTAGAGAGATATCTATGTATATTTATATACATATATATATACACATGTGTGTATATATATATATATATACACGTGTACAACTATTACAATATACCAGACCAAAAGACCCAATCAAAGTCTTTAGGGCTATGGGGCTATGGGGTTATTGGGCAATAGGGCGATGGGGCTATGGGGCTGCTACGGAACTATAGGGCTATAGGGCCATAGGGCTATAGGTCTATAGGGCTATCGGGCTATAGGGCTATAGGGCCATAGGGCTGTAGGGCTATAGGGCTATGGGGCTCTGGGGCTCTGGGGCAATAGGGCTATAGGGACACAGGGCTATGAGTATACAGGTCAATGGGGGTATAGATTATATGACCATATAGGGCTATGAGGCTATAGGGATACAGGGCTATGGGGCTATAGGGCGACAGGGCTATAGGCATATAGAACTATGGGGCTAAAGGGCTATTGGGTTGTTAGGCTACACGGGTATAAGGGTATAAGGGTATAAGGCTATAGGGCTATTGGGCTATAGGGCTAGAGGGCTATCGGGCTATGGGGCTGTGGGGCTCTAGGGCTCTAGGTCTATAAGGCTATATGGCTATGAGGCTATGGGGCTATGGGGCTATAGGGCTATAGGGCAATGGGGCTATAGGGCTGTGAGGCTATAGGGCTATAAAGCTGTAGGGCTATAGGGCTATAGGGCAACCGGGCATGGGGGCACCTGGGCACCTGGGCACCCGGGCCGCGGAAATCGGCGGCAAAGCTCACCTAATCATATGATTCCGGAGAAAAAGCCCCATCATAATCTTCTTTGGGCTGTATGGCTATGCGGCTGTAGGGCTATCGGGCCATAGGGCTATACGTCTATAGGGGACATCGGACTATAGGGACATAGGGCTACAGGGCTGTAGGGCGGTAGGGCTATGGGGCTATGGGGCTATGGGGCTATAGGGCTATGAGGCTATGGGGCTACAGGACCATAGGGCTACAAATATATAGGTCTCTGGGGCTACAGGGCTATAGGACCATAGGGCTGTAGTGCTATATGGCTATAAGGCTATAGGCATATAGAACTATAAGGCTATAGGGCAATAGGGCAATAGGGCTGGAGGGCTATAGGGCTCTGGGGCTCTAGGGCTCTAGGGCTGTAGGTCTATAAGGCTCTAGGGCTGTAGGTCTATAAGGCTATGGGGCTATTGGGCTATGGGTCTATAGGGCTATACGGCTATCGGGTTATAGGGTTATGGGGATATAGGGCTATGGGGGGGCTATAGGGCTACGAGGCCATAGGGCTATAGGTCTGTAGGGCTATAGGGCTATAAGGCTGTAGGGCTATATAAGGCACCCGGGCATCCAGGCATCCGAGCGCCCAGGCACCTGGGCACCAGGGCCCCCGGGCACCCGGGCACCCGAGCCGCGGAAATCGCCGGCAAAGCTCACCGAACTATATGATACCAGAGAACAAACCCAATCATAATCTTTTTACGGTTATAGGGCCATGTGGCTAGAGGTCTATAGGGCTATAGGGAAATAGGGTTATAGGGCTGTAGGACTATAGGGGTCTGGGGCTGTGGGGATACAGGGCTATGGAGCTATAGGGCCATAAGGCTATATGTTTATAGGGTTATTTGGTTATAGGGATATGGGCCTATAGGGCTATGGGGCTATAGGGCTACGAGGCCATAGGGTTATAGGTCTATAGGGCTATAGGGATATAAGGCTGTAGGGCTATATAAGGCACCCGGGCATCCGGGCACCCGGGCACCTGGGCACCAGGGCGCCAGGGCACCCGGGCACCCGAGCCGCGGAAATCGCCGGCGAAACTCACCGAACCATATGATACCGGAGAACAGACCCAATCATAATCTTCTTACGGTTATATGGCCATACGGCTATAAGTATATAGGCTATGAGGACATAGGGCTATAGGGCTGTAGGGTTTTAGGGCTATGGGGCTGTGGGCTACAGGGCTATGGAACTATAGGGTTATAAGGCCATAGGGCTATAGGTCTATAGAGCTATGGGGCTATAGGGCTATAGGACCATAGGGCTGTAGGGCTGTAGGGCTATAGGGCTACAGGGCTATAGGCATATAGAGCTATAGGGCTGTAGGCAAAAACGATGTAGTGCAATAGAAATACAAGGCTACACGGCTCTAGGGCTATGTAATTTGGGAGGCCCAAACAGAAGCTTGGCCTAAGGCAAAGCCATATCCAACTCTGTTGTACCGTAGTAACGATTGTCCCAAAAGTAAGGTATCGTCGAGGGAACGACGGGCCATGTCAAGCGAAGATGATTTCGGTCCCAATGGCAAGTCGCGTGCCTCGCGATGCAGCACAGTCAGCCGTTGGCGGCCGGCCGCTTGACAACAAACGGCCGCGGACAAACGCTCGCAACCTCTCGCCTTTGCCCCAGCCTCCTTTAGAGTCGAGGGGGGAGGAGACGAAGCGTGAGTCCACCACCTGCTATACAGTAAAACACGATATACACAAGGTAGGCAGCAGCAGGTGGGCTCAACGAGGAAGGTCGAACCGCCCGCAAGTGCCTTTGCAAGCAAGCCGCCTCGCAGGCAAGTCACCTTGCAGGCGATTGCCTCCCAGGCGGCTCAGGCGATTTTGTCTGGCCAGCCCTGCACGGAGGATGTCGTTTCAAGCCGTGCTTGAAGGATTGCGTTCCTCCCATGACCTGTAAGAGCATATCTCTGTCGATGTTCCTTTGGGCGTGGCCGTCCGCAGTCATGTCGCGACTGTCGCACCGCTGCGCACCATACACGATACCTCGCTCCATCCTCTGTCGCATCCAACTGATGTGTCCCAATAGAGTACACTCAATCGGTTCCATCAGGTCTGCGCTTGACAAGGACTGGAAGACATATTCTGCATCGATGGTCAAAGTGACCCGAACACGGGGGCCGCCCATCTCAAGTATGTCTTTCAACTGAGTGGGTGTCGGCGTGGAGTGCATGCAGAGTGGCGATCGTTGGATAACAGTCCTCCAAATTGTGAACTGCTGATAAGTGTTTCCGCTGAATAGCTCGAGCGGACCTGCAAGCGGTGGGACTTGCAGTGCGCGTCGGTAAGATGGGCGACGGGCTTGCCAGCAGGCGCGCTTCCACGCCGTAGCAGGTTTGCCCCGCGAACACCATAGCCTTCGACCTCGCCCTCGGCATATCCAGTAAGACGCTGGTAACTGGAGTCACTGCGCAGGTCCACCTCGCCCGTTGGAGTCATCGATTGGTAGACGATCTTCCTAGGGCAAGCCTGCAACTTTCTGGTAGTTGCGCTCAGTCGTCGCACTTGCATGTTGCTCGGTTCCTGGATGAGTTGTAGGGATGCAACGTATACCATCGACCACGCCAGCGCGATGAAAGGCGTAAGCCATGGCGCGTCTGAGGATGACAAACATGTCATTAAACCATCTCTGGTACCTTGGCGCCAGCGCCTGCGCCGGCGAGTTCAGGATGTTATATGGGACGGAGCTGATTCTTGCATTCGTCTCGATCAAGTGCAACGGCGCCGCCCCCATCTTCAGTGCACCTCACAGCTCAACTGGCATGCGTATGTTTGTTGAATTTACACTTGCCAAACCTATCCTCAACACACTTGCCGCACCTGTCGATGGTGTCCCCAGCACCAGCCATATTGATATCATCAACGAGCTTGGCTGTAAGAAGGTTGGAACTTGTCTCGAACTTCTCGTCATTGGACGTGGGTATGAGGCCAAACCCTCTCGTGGTCTTTCTGAGCTTCAGTGAGAAAACTCTTGGTGTGCCCTTGGCGCCAGTGCCTGGTTTGAGGCGCTGCAAGCAGTGCTTCGACTCATCGTAGTGCTCACCTTGGCGGGATCAAAACACAGATGCTGGTCCAGGCGGCAGAGCAAAGCACGCCACACGTTCAATTACACCGTCTGCTTCAGCAAGTTCCTGATAGGTAAGTCCCTTCAGGAAAGCAATGTTGATGTCACGGGAAGCAGTTTTCTGACTCGACCGCCGCGCCGTCCCTGAGGAAGTTTCCACGTCGAAAGCTTCGAGGCCCATGAAACCCCGAAGTACCAGGCGTAGTCTAATGGTCCGTCCCATCCCGCCCTTCTCGTTCTTGGCGAACCTCTACTTATATGCGTATCTCGAAGTCGTGATGCGTGACGCCTTTGATACATCTTGCATTGTGAATCACTTGTTGCCAAACCATGTCTTGAGTTCAGTGTATAGGGCTTCAGATACCTTGACTGGATTCGCCTGGACGTCAGCCTTCGTGAGGAGGTCGTCCTCCTTGACGACTGCAGCTCGTTCGGCTGCACCGGTCACATATACTCGCATAAAGGGGTCGCGCTGTCGAAGCTTAACATCTTATGATGTTGTTCGGATCGGACT